TTATTTATGTTATGTTCATGTTATATCCGAAATGATAATCCCAGGGGAAGAAAGGTGTGCTAGTTACGGTATTGTAACTCGTTTGAATTTCCTATGTGCACGGTCCACCGAACGTCATAGATGTTCACTGTAATCATCATTCTACATAGTGGCACGTGACTTCCTACGGGAATATTTTCGGATAAAATAAAAACGGTTCATTGAGTTTTTGAAATTATTTTTAAACAATGTTGTGTTACACTTTTACAGAGTAAATGTTTGATCTATTGTAGGTTGTCATCCGTTACTCATGAATCATGATATTATACTATTCTAAAATCAACGTTAGTATTCTGCTTTATTATTATCATGACTACCCTATGTGTTATTACCTCATAGGATATACCAAAATAAATCGTAATAGGGGGAAAGTACATATTTATATTCCTATGTATTTTATTCATCATAACCTTCACTGCGAAATCATATTTAGCCATTTAATCAATATTGAACACTTTTGAACGATAATATTAATCATAGACTTCAAATAAMATATCCAAGAACCAAAATGTAATTGAGMATAATTGTTTTTAGATAATTAAACTTTCCCTATTTGTTTGTGACCCCGATAATCCATTAAGAAATTATTAAAGTAAATATTATCTGCATTTTCTCATTTTAAATTACGTTGCGTACCACGTTTTTTTTTTTTTTAATTAACATAATTGGGTTAACAAAAACATTATTGAGGTAAGATAAAATATATAGTAAATTTATAAGTATTTTGTATGTCAGTATTACGTCTACATTTTAGTATACTTTGAAATGAAGAGTTCGTGTTTGATCGAATTTTTATAGGACCACCAGGTTAATAATATAATAACTAGTAAACCATTTTATGTTATGAAATTTTATACGCAAATAGAAAAACGAGTTCATAATCATAATGTCTAATGGTTTTTWTTTTTATTTTTAAATTACTACTTATAAAGACTAGAGACCAATAATGTATATAGACCTCACTGTTACCCTCTTATCGTTTTGTATTTTTCCTCATTCAGTATCCGTTACTACGTAATCGCTTTAGAATCTAAAATAGTTTCATTGTACTAATGTACTCAACTACTCAAGTCAAGTTCTATTCCGTCTTGAACCATGGCTTCAGTAGTACAGTGTAATATGCTAACCGAACGTTGACCCTTGTCCCGTTGTATAGTAAATACATAACAAATTACCCTCGCAATAGCCAACTCCTGGCTTTTACTATGTTAATGTCTGTTTAAAACACGCATCAAGTATTAAAAATATAAATTAACTATGTTGTTTGAAAATTCGTGTTTGATATTTATATCTGCTTTTACTTATTAAGATTATAGACTAAAAATTTAAATACATAATATTAATAATTGTGCGTTCAGCAATATAACAAATAACATCTTAGCCAATTATTTGTATGATAAGTTTAATATTTAATATTTATCATATAATAATAAATATACAAATGTTAGTTATTTTGTTTCGTAATAATTGTATGCCGGCGTGTAATCCGTTTTACGGTTGGAACTCTGTATCAACTGTTGAAATATGTTCATCGATAATTTTATTTTATCAAAAGTAAAACAGCTTTAAACATTAAAAAAATAATTTTATTGAAAAATAGTTAGTAGTTACTCATTACTCTTTGTATAGGGTGAGTCATATAGTCTGAAATGTGATTACAATGTGTATAATATATTATATAATTTAGGGAGAACTCTTAATACGAGGGTGAAAAAATGACTGTCTGCATCAAAACCCAATTTTATTCTGTGCAAGATTTTATGGGGTCTGAAGTTATTAAGTATTTTAATGTGTGTGACGGCTGTAGAGGAAGGAAATAGAATGACAAAGAAAATATTGGACATGCAATAAATTTCGATACTGTTATAACTTATATTGCATTTTTAACATTGACAGTGTCAATGAACGTAAACCAAACATAACCGATCTATTATAGCAGCGTTTATTATTCTATAGTTGTTCTCAAACTTTTCGATGCCAATGAATAGAGAATCCCTCTAGCTATATTTGTAATCGGATGTACTGTCCGTTGTCGTATACATACTGTATTTATTAAAAYTATTAATTCGGGTTATAAAATAATTGAAACGTGCTTAAAATCAATCTTTCTTTAAACTTCTGCTAAAAATAACGGTTATTACGAAATGAATCTTTTGAACACGGCCGTTTGGATTATTCGTTGATCCTCATACTAACAAAATAATTTTAAAGTCAATCGAATTTGATTGTTAACGATTACACCTTAAGATATATATATATCTTATCATATATGTACAGTGGCGTGGCGATGGGGGTAATCGAGAGGCAGCCGCCTGTCAGTTTTTTTTTGGTGGGTGATGGGTGACACTGGGCGGATAGGAAATAATTTAAATTCATAATAACGAATTTAGGAAAATAACACAAAATGATATTTTAATATTGTCTAATATAGATATTATAAACGAAAGCTAGTATCCAGTAGGCAGTGGTTACTAACCATTAGTTGGAAATAATACCTACCTAATAAGTACAATTGTCTGTGAAAAGCAATCACTCCCCCCCCCAACTCTATTTCCAATTGAGAGACAAAATTATGGTTGATGAATGATGGGTGGGTATCGCAAAATATACTTGCCTCTGAAAATATTCGAGTTCGCCACGCCACTGTATATGTATATATAAGAAAATTAATATTAAATGTATTTTTTTATTTCGTTATAAGAAAAAAATAATTAAAAAATGAATATAATTAGATTATTGTTTACTACATTCATAAATAAAACATATCAAATTATAAAATGTAATATTAATATCTATTTATATAATAATTAATATAGGTACACCTATTAATACGTTTAAAAMATGTAAAGAAACGTCCCTGCCTTTAATATTTTATGAATCTAAATTTATTTAAGTGTCAGCTAATGTTGTAGCTATTCCTACTACATTAATTTTTTTCTTGTGTACTTGCATAATATGCTCAAATTTTATAATTTATATTCAATTGTACTTCTATATTACTCCATATTACTCCTTAAATCAAAAAAAAATAACATTGTTTTAACTATCACTGAGTTTAGGACTCTAATGTGCCTTATATATTATTTATAAAAATTGTAATTTTATAGTTAATAATTAATATCGATTTACAACTCAGTTAAAACAATTTAATCTTATTTAGTTTATTCTATTGATCGCTGCGAGTCCTTATTTTATTAAAACATTAAAAATAAAATAAAAGAGCACATTTTATATTTCCATTGTGGCTGTACTGGTTTATTTCACAATTCAGCCTACACATACAATTCAAGGTAGATTTTTATTTAATATTTTAATATAAAACTATCGGTACTTAAAACGAGTTCTTCATTTTACGTAAAGCGCTAGCCAAGACTTAGTTAGTCGTTTCTTCTGTTTGTTGATATTCGTTGGAGATGAGTTTAAGGTATATTATTTTACTTTTGATTTAATATATTATCATATTATATACTCTTTTTATAAATTCTTAAAATATTTAAATATTATATTTTTATTAGGATATTTATAAAAATTTAAAAAAAAAAACGTAATTTTATTTATCATTTTCATTTTAATTTTGTAAATAAAGAAATTTGTGTAGGATGATCACTTTTAGATATGCCAAATAAGGCGAGGTCATTCAAATATCGTCCAGTTTTCTTTATCTGCTCACTTGTATTAGTTATTTAGTTATTAAAATCGTCGTTATTTTCCATCAGGGCAATCGGGTTTCTTAAACTTATTTTTTCACACAAATAAAAATAATATGTCTAAATTATCTATTAGAGAAAATAGAACACCTCCTGGAGGAGTTTGTCATGATCTTTGGGGCGCCGAGTTCGTAGGATCTCCGTGTCATAATAGGCAAGTAAAACACTTGAAAAGCGTACACAATATTCTAAATTATTAGTCTTAGTACTTACTTAAAATTTAACAATATTAAATAATCAAAGTTAATCCTCATATTATAAAAACTTATTAGTCGTTGACGTTAAAGTTCATATAAATTAAAAACATTAAAATTAATGTTAAATGTTAATAACTATTAACTTAATTTAAAAATTGCTTTAAAGTTTAAACTAATTTAATACTAGCTTATTTCTTTATTTATAACACTGCTTTTGAGGTTTCAACTTTCTTAAACAATGTTTTTTTTATACACGAACATCATTGTTTTTGTATGCTTAATAAGTATTAATACATATTTACTAATTTCTTTAACATAGGCTAATAAATAAATATTTTTATATAGTGTATAATGTATATTGCATGATATTTATGTAATATGCATGCATCAAGTGACCAAAAACCGTACCCTGAACTTTTTTTGATTGTTAGTTATTGTTAATAATTTTTTTATCTTAGATTATATTTTAAAAATATTAATAACTTACTAACTACTACTTACTTACTTATAACTTTTATTATACTTAGAGCCGTCAAAGGTAGGTGTTAAGAATTCTTAAAAATAATTTGTTTTAAATCAATATCAAAACTTTTTACTTCTTAACTGGGAGTTAAAATTAAAGCATAATTTAGCGGTATATACTAATTTAATTTCACACTGTCGCTACACAAATATGCTTCCTACATAAAAATATCCACATTTTGATCTGCATATATTACTACCATATGGTAAAATCCTTTCTGAATCCTTGAACATAGTTGAGTGGTGACCTGTTATTATGGTAAATAATGAAGAAATAATTTTATAACAATAAATTATTTATTATTATTTTTATATCTATGAAAGTTAACAATATTTATTTTAATTAAATTACTAGATTACTAGAAGTTGTCACCAAAATTAACAAAAGTAGTAAAATATAATCAACTATAAATGTCTTAAATATTCAAAAATGTTATAATGGTGTTTTAATTTTTAGAATAGTTTTAAATGCATTTCTAAATATAAATATGTAATTTGTATATACAATAAATTAATAAAAAATATTTTTTTTAAGGGTCTTGAAACCACCAGGCGGAGGAAGTAGTGACATATTTGGAACGACATCATGTGATGAAGTTAATCCCCATAAACGTGGTACAAATCAGAAGAATCTTCAAAGCTCTATTATTTTGGGTGGTCAATCACCAAAACATAGTAATGGTACAGTTGCTGCTAACGGAAACTCTGATAAACCTGGTAATTTCAATATTAAAAAAATTTTTTTTTTTTTACAAGTAGTCTAAAAATATTTAAATTAAATATTACTTATAGTTAATGATATTAATGTTGAATCTCAAATTACTAATGATAATAAGGTTGTGTCTAATTTTGCTAATGATACTAATGTTATATCTCAAATTGTAAATGAAAATATTGAAAAAACTGTGTCTGAAACTCCGAGTAATGAAGGTAAGATTAATGTGTGATTATCTACGTATTGTTATTCTAGTAAGTTATACCTTAAATACATTATAATATACCTTGCGAATAGTTACATAATATTTTAATTTATAGCTTTATCATTTTTTTTTTTTTTTTTACTTAAATTTGTATTTCAATCACAGGAAGACCTGATAAAAAAATAAAAAAAAACTACTTAACTTATATAAATGTTTTTACCATCAAAATTGTTCTTATAATCAGATTTATGAATTTTATGTTTCAAATCTTAGGAAATAAATATTTTTTTAAATATATTATACTTGTAGGTAGTACATATGTCAAGTGACTATAAATTGTATATTAATAAAAAAAAAAATAATTAAAAATATTGATAGGAACAAGATTATTTTATCTGTCAGGTCTTCCCGTTACATTCTGTATTTCTTCAGTTATTAAAATGTAAAATATTTTATGTTTAACTTCTAAATGATTTAATTGATAAAAATTGAAATTAAATTTTATTAATAATCAGTTATAACATATTATACTATTATGGGTATAACATAATAAGAAGCTTTTATTTTATTTAGTTGTAAGATTGTAATGATATGCACACATATCTTGTTTATAAGTTATTTAAATATTCTATAAAATAAATAACGGTCAAGTTGTCGTACGCAGATAACCATTAAAACCCAATAAATACTATTAATCACTGAAGAAAGAAACAATTTGCATTGACTGGTCACGTAGGAACTCATATGTAGTTGTGACAATGTGGCACCACATGTGTGATCTATTTTGTGTACCACCGGAGAGAAGGGATGGTCCAATGGGGGTCTCTGCCACCAAGGTTAATGGCAAATTTTTGGAAAGGTTGAGGCCTTTGATGGAACTGCCTGCGACTCAGGCTGGCTTGACTACATTGTCTCCTCTCATCAGTGCATGAGCACCAACTACCAGTACCAGCCAAATCAACCAAATCGAATCCTGCGAGCAACAACTGACCGTTATTTATTTTATTGAATATTTGAATAATTTATAAATATGATATGTGAGCATATCATTACAAAATAAAGTTAAGGTATCCTATTAACCACAGTTCACAAAAATCTTTAGAATCCATTATGAACTTCATACAGTTATATTACAAAAAGCTCAGCTTAAATTTTTTATTTAAATCCTATTATTAAATTAATTTTATTACATATATGTCGTTTTTAAATTATAATATAAGATAAACATCATGTCTTATGGTTCAAATTATTTTATCTATGTATTTTGTGTATGTATGTTTTTAATAATTAATAATTATTAATAATGCACTTTTAAATATCCTGAATCTTATTTACATAATATAACTGTGTTTAACTATAAAAATTGCTTACCCGACTCCTTTTAAGTATACTATGGTGAACACCCTTTCCTGCATACTTAATAATTCGATTCTGCTTGCTACTTTTATGTTTGTCTAATGGATATTTGCTTGAAGCTTTTAACTTTGAATCTGCTACTACCAATAAAATTAATTGTCAAAGATGGGCTTATAAGAAAAAAGGTATGTTTTAAATTTATAAAAATATAAAAAAACAAATAAAATGAATAATAATAATAATAATAATAACTGTTGTAATTAAATATTATGGACATATGCTGGTAATATACCATATATAAAAATTAGAAAATGTTTTTTATGATTTTATAAATTTGTATTCTATGTTTTTGTTCTGTTTTAAGCATTTATAATTTCTCGTATGATAATTTATCTGAATATTATGTAATTGATTATTATATTATGTCTGTTAATAATATTGTATGTATAATAGTGTTTAATTGGTTAACTATACGTTGCATAGGTATTGGGTTTTGTACACAGTGTTAATTTGATGTGYATTTATATTTTAGATGGTAATCCAGTGACTGGAGAAGGTTATGAAGCTCCTAAAGTAGCAGCTACACCAGCTCAGCATGTTTCTGCTCAATCTGAACCAGCACCAGAACAAAAGAAGGCAAGCCGTGTGCCACCAGGTGGATACAGTTCTGGGTTATGGTAATTGCTAGGCCAAGAAGACCATCCAAAATTTTGTCACAATTTATACATCGCTTTGTATTTCTATGATATATTGATGACCTTTGATCACTTTTCATCAATAAAATACTTATTTATGATATATAAGAAAATGACTTTCAATGCATAATATTACAATTGTCATTGTTTTAAAACTACCTTACATTTTATCATTCTCAAATTGTTTGATTATTGTTTTGTAATGTTTGTGAATTGATTTATTCCTAAAAAATTCTTTTTTATACACAATAAAGTACTATATTTATTAATGATTTTAGTATGCGATATTAGTTGATTAAAACTAACATAACCTAAGTGTCTTAAATGAATAAATTATTTACCTCTCCTAATAATTGTATATTTATTTATAAATATTTAAAAAAAAATATATTGCTAGGTATAGTAGACACTATTTTTCTATAAACTAGAACAAACTTTAGATTTTAGAATAATGAACAAATTATTTTTATCAAAATAAAACTTAACAACAAAAAAGGAACTTAATTTGAGTCTACTATATAAATTAAGAAAAAAAAAAGACTTTATCATCAAGATCAGTTTTGTAATAAATACATTATTAGATATTCTCACATAATGCAAAATAATATGATATTATAACATTACTTGATTTGTACCATAAAACAGTGAATTACTTTCAACATACATTATACATATAAAATGAATAGTTTTTAATTTGTATCGGATAATAATATAAAAATTTGAAATCCATACAAGAAAAAAATATGTTATAAGTCTTATTTATTGTCAGTTCCAATTCAATATTTCTATTGACGGTTTTCCCATTCCCGGGTCTGGTGTTTTTTTTTTCCATAAATCCAGACAGTTGTGATGGAGTTTGGATTTGCGGAACACATCGCAGGACGTCGAGGAGTTGGTAGCCTTACAGCGTGTCAGCTGTTTGGCGTATCGCTGGAGCAAGCTGTCGTCGTCGCCGGTGGGCGCTGCCAGAAAGTCGCACCGCTGTCGCTTGTGTACGCAACAGTGTATCGGTCCCGGGTCGGTCTCGAAGTCGGGTCTCAGGTCGGTGAACGCGAGTCCTGCGCGCTCGGCGAGTATGCCTGTCACGTACAGGTCGTCGATCCAAAAGTATTTTTCGCGGGCACCGATCGCCCGCAGCAAGCGCGGCACGGCCGCCGCCCTGGCCGCGTACAGCCAACCGGACAGGAACGGCGGGTACGCGTCGCCCGCAAACTCTGCGCGGCTCACGTACCACTTGTTGCCCTCGTCCCGTATYGGTTTCGCGGCGATCACGCACCCGGCCAGGTCGCGGTTGCCAGCACGTCCCAGCACGGCGTTCAGCTTGAACACGTTCACCGCTATGTCGTCGTCCATCTTGACCATGTAGTCCGACCGCGGGCACCGTTCCGCGAACCACGTCAGGCCCATCGTGTGCTTGTACGTCAGGTTCCTGTACGCTTCGCGGAAGTTGCCCTGCACCACGTCGCCGTGCCGGTACGACTCCCGGAGCAGTCGGGCCTGCAGGTCGCCGTCGCGGTCGCCCGACGACGGCAAGCCGACCATGAACACGTGACGGAATCCCAGCCGGYCGAGCACCGTTCGCGGATAGGACTGGCGGATGGCCCGGCGGCGCTCGAAGTGGCCCACGTGGCTGTGCACCACGATTGGCGTGTGACTTCGAGGCCCGCCGCACACGTCGCTATCGACGACGTACTCGAAGTCTTCGAGGTCCAACAACAGGCGCCGCCGGCCGCCGGTGCGCATCGGCGGCGCGGTCCGACGGGTGATGTCGCGGTCGGCGGAAAACGCGTCGAACAGCACCAGAAATGACGTGTTGACGGCGAGAAACAAGAAGATTTCGTACCTCCACGACGACGGTCGCTGTGCCATCGCCYGCCGTCACCGTCGATGCAGCTGCAACTGTTGCTGCTACGGGTCGGTGCACCGGTGTCCGCGGTCTGCCATCGACGCACTGGTCCGTTTGACGCGACGCTCCTCGTCGATGAAGATTATAATTATTTTTTGTTTTTCGCGTTGCGTGAACGATTATGATATGACATCATGACAATAATATAGTTGTACTGTATGTCGCACTTCCGAGCGAGCGCGTCGCTTCCGCTCGACGCCTATTCGGTAGATTTTCTATATGGTCGTCCGCGTTCGAGCGGCGTGTTAACTTCGCGCGTCCTTGGAATCGACCCGTGAACGGTCGAGTGTTGGTTTTCTGCGACATATTAGACATTTAAAACAGCTTTCACTTAGCTAAAGAATAGCAACTCCTCCTCCCTGCCCCCCCTCCCCACACACACACACAACCTACGCCGTTCGTTGTGTTGTTCCTATATTGTAGAGGGGGGGAAAGGGGCTGGTACATAGCGGCTGTGGACTACAATAATCTCGAACCGTTTCTCGTTCACTAAAACATTCAAAATGATTCATTCGACTTCAAATGCTTTCATTATATTTTTGGTTTTAAGGTTATATGAGTAATATAATAATAYATGTGGTAGGTACGCATATTATGCACATTAATTAAAAGAATAATATTTCAAACGTAATTAGCAATGTGTTGCTTATGATCGCCTATTTATAGTAATAATGTTATATGTGGCTTCTCTTGCAGGTGAAACGAATAACATCTATGGCWGGAATTCAAACATGCGTATCGACTGTTAATTTTTAGTTCCTCTGTGTGGTCGACGATAACTGTCCTGTGTACTTGCGTGCGTYGCCCACAATGATATAATATGTTTAACATAATATTATATASCCCAAAAATAAAGTCATGTCTCATGTGGCGTATATGTATCAGGTGTCCATTATAGAAGCCAGATGCAAAGCTTCGGATGATTGATTTTGAATTATCTCTTCTATCGAAAATAATAGGTTCAGCAGACCGCYGCTATACTGAGACAATGAAAACGAAGCCGACTGCAAAAACTTGCGAAATCGTCTCATATTATAGACACCCACTGCAACGGGTAATCTAGCGTACCGTAGGCGTATATGGTGTGCGGAAAACTTGACATACTTCTTTTGTAACACCGGTGTAGTGAACGTGTGGYAGTTAGGTCATCATTTTATCAATGTAGTTAATTTTTGAAATTCAATTACTAACCTTTTAAAAAAAAAAATAATACTACAGCTGTAATAAATATCAAAGATTTACTGTAAAAATAATRTGGTTCTCATTTGGTAGAAATAATATGATTGAAACGCCTATTATATTTGAATAAATATAGGTATGATACCTTCTTTATAGTCCTTATTAGAGTTTAGACAGTTTCATATCTTTAACAATTCGAAATATAGTGAGGGAAGTTCTCATTTGAAAAAGAAAAAGTTTGTAATCGCTTCAGCCCCCAACTACCACTCAGTACCAATGTCAAAGGCTAGTTACTTAATAGTACAATGGATGATACGAGATTTGTGGGATTTTTGGGATGGCRTGAACTATGAACAGTATGTATTTGACATAATTGTCATTTGCCCTGGACAAAATAAAAATTGAGTTCGGCGACACTGTCCACGATGCATATACATAAGAGCCGCTGGTATAACCCCGTGGGAAACTTAGTATTAATTTTTACTATGTCCGTACGCCTATATGTATACGCGGTGATCATATTATTACGACTCGTTCTTAACTATTATATTATACAAGTATTTTTTTTTCTATAATTGCCAAGGTTTAGCTCTTTAGTTCTCATTTTCACAAATTGTTATTATAATAATAATTTMTTTTTTTATTATTATTATTTAWCGTTTTTCCGACATTTATCATCTAAACTTAGATATATATAGAATTACATTTTTTAACATTTTATAAGTTAGATCACAAATGGTATARCTTATACCATATAAGTAAGAAATAATTACAATTAGGACTACAGGTTTAAAATGTAAAAAAAGAAGAACAATTTTTACAATAGAAAACAGTTTAACAGATGATTATAATATGTCAATTCAACTAAATCAACAACTAAATATTTTTTGTTTTAATCATTATCAAAACTATTCCATTCTATTTTTTTGTCTTTTAAATATTGAAATTATAATACATTTATGAATATTGAATAGAGTAGGCAGGTATTATTTTTCTGGCAAATAAAAAATAAACAAAAATATTGTTGCTATAGTAACAATTTGATTTGTATGAAATATTTTTGTCACTGGACATTTATGAGCGATGCGCCTCCATGCCCAACATCCATGTGGTACGTTCGTGGTCGCCGATGTTGACCTTGATACCCACAACTCGGAACAGGATACCTATGGACTATGATGGTAGCCGTTACGAAACAAGACAAGCTGCCTTGGCCGGAGACATCGACATGCAGCCCAAACGACGACGTAAATCCATTTGGAGCAGTACAAAGCGATTCGTGCGGCGTCTATTTTGTTTTGCCGAGTGAGACGTGGGGGTAATCTCGAATCTTGTCTTTTTTATCGTCTTATATATTGGATAAATCAATTCAATTTTATATGTTTTTCTAGCCACACCGCCAATCACCAGCATGCCACGAACTTATTCGCTAAGACTTAAAGTGATGTTCATTTACGCTCCGTGTTACCTATATTATTTACGTTTGTGCCTGATTAATATGTCTGTATCTGTTTAYGTTTGTACCTATTATGTACTCACCAATAAAAATCGTTAGTTGCATTCACTCCAAATGTAGTTAATGTCCAATTGTGTGGTTGACTTTTACTTGGGAGTCAATAAGTGTTAATTTTACTACTATTCAACATAGGTTAAATGACTATAGATATTTTGCTATGAGTGCTACCTATGACATTTACATTGTAATGTTATGTTATTATTATTCTATATCTATGATTAAGATATCATAACGTAGTGAGATTGACTTTGATAATTTGCAAATTGAGATTTTGTAGTTGATGTTAAATAAATATATGCATTGAAGAAATTCCATTAAATTTCAGTGGGTGCAAAACTTTTATCGGTCCAATAATCGTATGAATCACATGGATTTAGAATTTAATAGCATTACCTCAACATTATAAATCAGTTAAAAAGATAAAATACATTTTATTGCAATTTGCAACTGCAAAATTAAAAAAAAATTTAGATGACTATTTACACAAGGTTAGTATAAAAATAATTATAACCATATACATTAYTAAATCAGCAATGAAAAACGTGATGATAAAATACAGACATTTACGAACAAAATAATTATATTTACAAATATTTGCAAACGAYTTACAAATGTATGCTATACAGTATACACATACAGTATACATTCATGATTGTATAACGTTGACCAAATTTCAATAGCCCTTTCGTGGTTTTTGCCCGCATCACCGACTGCGTTGCGCAATCGCGGACCAATCCAAATTCTGCAGTCACCTGTTGTRTCTGATAATTATCATTATGTGTACCACCTATTCATTTTCTGCCTGGAACTGCGATATTTCAGTAAGGTTCTACTCCGAGGTACATGAATTGATGAAATTTTCTGAAAGTAAGACTATCTTCACACACTGACCATCTTCGACATAATCATAATTCTTGTAGTGATACGCAGAATTAAATCGTCAAATAGTAAGTGTTTCATGTAAACGAAAAGCTGCTGAAAATCTTTACATACAGCCAAAAAAAAATAATTTTAAAAGGGTTATCAGAAAACACTCAACTTACTGATGTTTTAACTTCAAATGATTTTAATATGATTAGAAAATCAATTTACTGATGTAGGCGTAAAGTTTTTCCTTTTATTCCGACTAGCATAACTGAAGCATATATATGGCTCTAAATACACCCGAAACCACTGTAACTACAAACCATTTATTGTGTTGGTAAATGATGAAATAAAAAATATAATAATTTTTTCGTGTAAAACTAACSTTAAATTTTATGTAATGCTGTGGAAACAATTTATATGGACAGCACGTTCCAATTTTGTGCTAAGGTTTTAGAGCAAATGTTTTGTATATATCATGGTTTTAAATACGACCATTACATACCATTAATATTTATTTTACTTCTRGACAAAAAATATGAAACATATGTGTATACGTTTAAATCAATACAAAATAAATGCAAAGAATTAGGACTAGTTCTTATACCAAAATGTGTTACTATAGACTTCGAAAAAGCAATTCATTTAGCAGTCAATGAATTTTGGTCTTCATTGCAAATAATAGGTTGCCGTTTTCACCTGACGCAAGCATGGTATAGGAACGTTCAAAAATATGGTTTAGCAACTGAATATCAAAATAATAGGAGTATTGGTAAATAGATTCAACATACTTTTGGCTTAATATTTTTAGAACCAACCCAAGTATATCCGATTGCCTTACTCAAGATTTAATGGCTGAATGTCCATGTAAAATTCGTTAATTTTTGCGATTATTTAGTAGAAAATTATATTTCTGAGAACAGTGTTTTTAATCCAACATTATGGGCATGCAATTCAGCGAGCATCCCAGCTCACAACAAATGCGTGTGAATAATTTCATTCATATTTTAATGAAAACTTTTATTCTACCTCTCCATCAATCATAAGTTGGTTAAATATTATACGTACGCAATGACATCTAGATAGAAACGTATATCAAAATGAATAGTGTTGAAATTCCCGAAAAAAACAAGACAGAAAAACGATGGAAAGACAAGAATAGAACGAAAAAAGTATACTTTTATATAGATCTGGCGAAATTACCATAGGTGCGRATTTGTAAAAAGCATGTGTAGACATTTTAAAAATAATAGTTTTTGTAAATGTATTTTGATATAACTTAAATTAATTTTTATAAAAATGTCTGTATTGTATGTAAAATAATTAAATAATTGATTATTGAATATAACTTACTTTTAGTAGAAAGTATAGTAACATAATATTATATTGTGTAATACTTTCTTTTTTTTTAAATAGTTAATAATAATTTATAATATATAATATTATATGGTATACCTACTATATACTTACTATATTATTTAAAAATCATTGCCAACTTAATTTGAAAACGACTAAAATGGCTTTGGTCGAAAAGGGTGTCTGGACGAAACGGGAAAGGTTGATTTTGGGCAAAACGGGTGTCGCTCTTCTGAACCACTATAAAAAAGGTCATGTTCTCCTTTTTTAGGGATCCCTTATTTAGCCATCTAACTTCTTTGGGCGCTAATTATGTATTTTGTAAGATTTAGTCACATTCAGGACACATTGCAGTGCTCCTGGTCCTGCTT